ACCGGGAGCCTGTTCGCACGCTAATATAAAAGAAATGAATTATCTGTTATTGCTTTCATTGATCTTCGCTAACTCATTTATGTAGAATCTCCGGGAAAAGCCAGATCTCTCCTTGGTATGGGGTCGTCACACAACGTGACACTTCTGATCGTGATATCTGACTCGCGTCATATTGTCACACAACTTTGCTCCCTTACGTCCTGATTTTAATTGATTGCGATGTAGAAAAATAATAATGCGAAATAGTCTATTTGTTTTTTTAATCGATATCAGCTTGTCTGAAGTCAAATTCACTGCGTGAATACAAGTGATTTTCTCGTTTGCAGATTATTTACCCTTTCTATTTCCCAATTTCGCTTTCCTTGGTCTTCCTTGTGTTGTTTAGGAATCGACGTTCATCTTTAAACGATTTCCCTGCTTCCAAAGACAACCCTTTTCCAACTATTTTTAGTTCCAGCGATATTGATCATGGCGGACCTCGTTAGACGAAAAAGGAATTTTAAAAGACCTCTGAGAAATTAGTCAAATTTAAGCCGACGTCATGTACAAAGTCAATGTTTACTTTTGCTTTTATGTCAGTCACAACACATAATAGCTTGAATTTTTCGGCTTGCACAATAGCAAACACAAAAATACTCAAAGAAGAACAATACTTATGGAAATTTCCTTTCTTCCAAAAGAGTGGATGACTTCGGAATTTATACTCTGGAGCGCTCAAGCGATAAATAAAACAGTTGACCTTTCGTAACTCATAAAGATCACTAGTTCTGTGTGTTCTTGAAACAGAACTCGAGTTGACAACATGAAGTGCTCATTTGATTTGAGTTTCTCAGAGTTTATTTTAACTGTGGAACGAATCGAAACTAAAATAAAATCACCAAAACCAGAACTTCGCAAGAACGAAAAGCCGCATTATGGTTACAGAGGAATGCGGGTCTCTGGGACACGCACACGTTCACTTCGCTCGAAAATAGCATATCTGAATACAGGAAGAGTAAAATTGACGATCGATGTTGCTAATGTCCAAATTTAGGCACATTTGTAGCCGTTAATATCTGTTAGTCGATAATGACCTCCCCCTCGTCAAAGCGCGATATTTTGGCGGAACACGAAATCGAAAAGCAATCGAAATAAAAACCTCTGGGGAGTAATTTCAATGACCAAATTTGGTCACAGATAGTGGTTGTTGACCAATAGGAGGTCGTTGCTGATGGAAAAGGGAAGTGTGTGCGTTTTAAACCTTGGCACGGCCCACTGAAGCAGACATATTGACCATACATTGTCACTAGTTTGTCTTGTTCCTTGTTCTTTATTTGCGAGGAACACATTCCTGGACTACTCGTCAAAATGGCTGACTTTCATCTTTCGGAGGACGAACTGGCTGATATTCGGGAGTCTTTCGAACAGGTAAATTTGCTTCTGTGTTTGATTGAAATCGAATTGCTTTTGTGATGTTCACTTTGTGAAATTAGTTACAATATTTTGAGACAACTTTCCTGAAAAACAGTCGACACCTCATGTCAGTTTTACCGTTTACTGTTTTATGTTCGTGCCGTACTTCAGAGCTTATTTGCTATATCTAGGCTTTTCTTGTCGCTTATTTATTCTGTTTCGATATCGTTCACTTGTGTACATGTCCAGTTGTGAGCTGCAAGAAAGCTCAACCTTGTTTTACTTTTGTCTTCCTAAATCAAAGTTTGATTTGGATAAGAATGGTCATATAACGGCTAGCGAAATTGGAAACGTCATGAAAGCTCTTGGAGAAGATATACCTGGCTATAAATTACGTGACATTGTAAAGGAGGTGGATGCCGATCGAAATGGAACGGTGCAGTTCAATGAATTTTTGGAGGTGAGTCGCGATTTTTCATTCAGTAAGCTTATTTTTCTGGAATCGGAAGCGGAAATGTGTGTCTGCATCAAATTATGACAAAATAACAGCTGCTGTGTTAAAGTGTTGATGAAGACATTGAGGTCTTCTCGCGAGTGATGTGTTTAAAGTAGTTAGCATTCTATCACATTTCCATTTCCAGTCTGGGGTTTAACTGGCAATTAGGTTCATTTATACAAGATTATAGTTTGGCAAATTGTATTCCTAAGTATGCCAATTAGTTGGCAGAAAATTATAGTGCCTTTTAGTCCAGATCAGATGTTTGGGTGAAGTTTTCTTTTAATGAGTAGTTGATTACTATCTAATCATGTCAATTATGCATGAATGGCTAATGAGTTATTTTAAATCTTCAGGGCTAATGATGTCTCGAAACAATATACTTAAGACGTGTCCGCAGTTATTGTTTCACTTTTCACCAGTCGTCAGGACACTGGTGATTTACTTAATGTGCTCTACAAAGTACAGATAAAGCCTTGTTCAAAATCCACTTTCTCCCTAACCCTAATAACCACAAGAATTCAGAAAATAGTTTTCAAGAAATACAGCAAAGTCTATCAGTATCACAGTTTGAGGTATCTGCCAAGGTTCAAAGCCAACAACATACAAATCACTGGTGGCACTTGTGTTTTAACCTAAAACCCCTTCAAACCATACATTTTTTGGACTGTTAATAGTTCTTGTTTATTAGCTTTACATTTAAAAAGAGATTGGAAAATTTTGAAATACTTTGACAGTGAAACAAGTTTTGCCAAAATGTGTGTAACTCAATCTCCACACCACAGAAATTAAATGGAAGAAAGTGGTTAACATCACATTGGCATCTTGAGAGCTTGATCTAAAAGAAATTATACAACTTGCTGTCTTTTTAGATTTATAAGAAAAACAGCAAAAAGTTTTCAGCTGGTTCAGAATTCAAGAAATTATTAAAGAAGAAAGAGCAAATTGCAACTTCAGGTGGAACATCGGAAAGTTCGGCAGAAGGCACAAAGCATTCATACTCGGATGCAGAGAGGGTCGCTTTTGCCGACTGGATGAACACTGCACTACAAGATGACAAAGAAGCTAAGGCGTACTTACCAATTGATCCTGCAACCCAGGATATATTCACAAAGATACAGGATGGGATCATATTGTGGTGAGTTTATAGTAATCTAAAATGATCAAAAATGATGATTCAGTTAATCACATTTACTTGCAAAATGTCCATGTATACTGACAGTAATGAATGAATGCAATATGACATGTTAGAAAATAGCCCAAAGAAAATATACATGCTGATTGGTTCAAAATTGTGTTCCTATAACTCAATAGAAACACAGAACAAGCATGAGCTGTTGACGTAATGATGAGCACGATCAAAGAGAATTTACATTTTGACGATCAAAGTAAACAAGTTATTTTATTGGGGGTCGTGGTATTTTTTAGAAGAAATAGAAAACATGTTCTTTGTGTTTCTATCGAGTTTTAGAGTTAATCTACCAGCGTTCTAACACGTAAGGTGTTCTCTGATTGGCTACGCTACTCACTATCTATTCTGTGATAGATAGTGAGTAGCATAACAGTGTTAACAAAATGACGGCCACTTGGTGTTTTTGAAGTGTCTGTGAAGAGGATTTAGATAGAGTTTTGAATGACTAGTAGATTTATTCTAGAACAATTAGACTATTAGCTCTCAATTTCTATGCGTGATAGGAAACTCGTGCTGCGCCCTCGTCAACTGTTGCACTATAGAAATCTCAAGCTCTTAATCTAATTGTTTGGGAGAACTCGAAAAAGCTGTGGAAGCACTCGCTTAACAGCAGGTGTTTCCCCAGCATTTCTCCCTCTCCCAAACTGTCACTCGTGTTTCTATAACTCGATAAAAACAAAGTACATATTTTATATTTCTTAAATCAAGAATAGTGTGACATCTGAGTTAACAGCCTGCAGTACATCAATTTCTAAGCAAGAATGTCAGATGAAACAGTGAAAAAATGAAAATTATGTGCAAATCAACCTGATTAAACACAAAAGAATCGATATGGCAGATAGTCAAAATGAGCTTTCAGTCAACATGCCTCTTCTCTTACATGTAAAAGGGCTGGTTATACATGTGCAGGGCCACAAGTGTTTTGAATTAGAGTTGGAGGCCAGGGGCTCTCCTTTTCTAAGACCTTATATCAGCACTGTAACAGATGGTGTATGTTAGAAAGGTAGTATGTAATTTGTTTGGAATCATCTTAATTCTAAGCCATCCCTCTTCATTTCTCTTTCATTGTTACATATTTGGTATATTTCTGAAGGTGAAATTGAACATGAAGTAAAAAGTGACTCCATGCAGTATACAGTACAGTGTAGTCATGTTGCCTTAATATTAATTGTAAAGCTTCCCATGTGATTATATTTTGGAACAATGCTGGAGGAAATCAAATGCATTCTTTCCTTTTTTCCCTTTTAATTAGTAAAATGATAAATTTGTCTGTGCCTGACACTGTCGACGAACGTGCTATCAACAAACCAAAATCAGGAAAATCATTGAGCATCTATAAAATTCATGAGAACATGACTCTGGCTCTAAACTCAGCTCAAGCTATTGGCTGCAACATTGTCAACATTGGAGCTGAGGACCTTGAACAGGGAAAGCCTCACCTTGTACTGGGTGTCCTGTGGCAGATCATCAGGGTAAGTTTAATTCTGAGTGCTTTGTAGAATTTTCTTGCAGTTCTAAGTAAACTTGTTTTCAGTTTTGCATTGCTTTTTCTTGTCCATTACCAGCTTTTGAAACCCTAACTTGAATGGCAATTAGTGTAGTCAGTCTTAACTTCAACCTCAATAATAAGGTTTAAATATGATTGATAGTTTAAGTAACTACGACAGGGATGCCAAGGGTAACGCCAACTAAAAATAACTATTCTATCCACCAATCTTGCGATACTCAAAAGGTATTTAGTTTCAATGTTTCTCTGTCAAAACTATCTCTAAAATGAGTATGGAACACAGCATAAAGTTTGAAATGTAACGTTTAAAGATTATCTGTCGTGGTTCATGTTCTCTGGCCAATGTAGAATTTGGTCATTTCACATTGTTGTTTTTCAGAGGACAGCAAAGAAATGTACTAAGAATCATAATTCACATGCACTGCCATTGTTTTGCTCATTAAACCTTCAGTTTAGCGACATTGCTGTTGCCGCCATTGTAGTTTTCTTAAACTTCCTAATGTATTTTTTCCCCTTGAATTAGATTGGCTTGTTTGCCAATATCACATTGACGAGTGTGCCAGGCTTGGCCCGTCTCTTGATGGAGGGAGAGACACTTAGTGACCTGATGGCACTTTCACCTGAGGAAATTTTGTTGAGATGGTTCAACTACCATTTAGCGCAAGCAGGCCACCACCGACGAGTGAAAAACTTCAGTGATGACATACACGTGAGTTACCATATTTATATACATGTGCAACTCTCTGGTGGCCTCATGGTTAGTGCACTCGCCCCTGGGTTGAGGGGTCTGCATTTGAGCCCTGGCCGGGGACATTGTGTTGTGTTCTTGGGCAAAGCACTTAATTCTCACAGTACCTAACTCCACCTGGGTATATAAATGGGTATTGGCAAATTTAGTGCTGGGGGGGGGGGGGGGGGNGGTGTAACCTTACAATAGACCAGCGCCCCATCCAGGAGGGGGGGAGAGCAATTACTCCTAGTCACTTCATCCTACCGAAACTTGAGAGAAGTGTCAGCCTGATGGGTTAGTTGGCTCCTATACAGTGAAGTGAAGTGAAGTGAAGTGAAGTGAAGTGAAGTGAAGTGAAGTGAAAGACTTAATTTAATGAGGGTGACCCGTGACAGTAACTTAAGTTACTGATAAACTTGGGGCCCTCAGCTTAAAATAATTAGAATGCTAAAAATATATTATTTACAATAAAATGCTAAAATACGATAATTATTTACAATAAAATACTTAATTAAGTTACTATTAAAAATGGTTACAAATAATAAACCGGACTTACAATTTCAAACATACTACGAATAATAAGAGTTAAAAAATTCCATTAGTTTTCTGAGAGTTAAGAATAGTATTACATAATTTAGCCTTAAACGATTTAACGGACTTCTCTGTTTTTAAAGACCGGGGTAAACAGTCTTAACCTTACCACTCAATCAACACTTCTTTTGACTCTGTAAAAATTTCATTTTTGGCAGGATTCTGAATGTTACTCAGTTCTACTCCGTCAAATTTCTCCTCCTGAAGTGTTTGTGGACAACAGGCCAATGCAAGTGAGTAAGACGGGGGCGTAATTACCACAGGAATAAATTGTCTGTAGATAGAGGATATCACATGGTGATGCAAAGATACAAATTTTATTTTTAAGTGATAAAATATTGTTTTTAACACAAGAAAATAAAATTTATATATATATATTCATATATCTATACAGACAAATTGACAGCACAAACAACTGTGAAAAAGCAAGAATTGACATTATCAATATTATTGTCACTAGTGAGGATATCAAAAATATGTCCTGGATTCTTATTAATATTTTGAGTGGTGTATTTTCCAGTAAACACTGCTCGTGTCTGTATGATAATTAGTCATATTTCCAGTACAAAACAGTTGATTCGAACATCGTCTGGCAAGCGACCACCTCTCTTCAGTGACCAGTTTTCCAAAATACCCAGAGTTTCCCAGTCAAATCACTACTTTTGTAACCTCCTGTAAGCGACCACCTCTTGCAAGCAACCGCGACCACTTTTAGAGCAAAAAGTTTGGCATTTTCTTTAAATTCGTTTTTAACCTCTCGTAAGTGACCGCTTGACTGATAATAGGGCGTAAATTGGGTAATAAGGTATTGTTACATTATCACATTCCTGAGATGGAAATTTCTCAATGAGAAGTACTCACTTTTTTTCTCAAAATTGACTTTTCACATGATTAAAGCAGTTAAACATCATTCTGGTAAGTCTCTGCAGTTACCATATGCTAATGAGGCAAAATTTTGACCCAATATGGTTTAAGCTCTCGTAAGTGACCACTTACGCTTGACATTTTGGGTAGTCGCTTATGGGAGGTTCGACTGTACTAACTTTGACTGTAAGTTGAGCAAGCTATATAGGTAGACAATAATAATTATTTCTTGTAACAACATTTCTTTATAAACTAGTGGCAATGTGTCATGGTTTTTGGTGGAAAGATTTAAGAATTACTGCTTGCCAGTCACAGCCAACACTCTTTCACTGATTGTGATGTTTGTTGTAGGAAAAAGACCTCAACAAAAGAGCTGAGAAAATGCTGCAAATGGCAGATAGAATTGGCTGCAGGAAGTTTGTGCGTGCCAAGGTACGGTGTTCATATTGTTTCATATTTAACTGGGAACTTAGTAATCATATTGTTTCTAGTAAATGCAATTTCCAGGATTAATCATGTAGATCAATTTGGTTAGCTACATGTACTTGAGTGAATTTTTACCCAGTCCTCTACTTAAAAGACTTCAATTAGTTTCCCTGTACCTGTAAAAATATTCTTATACAGCTGTAGACCCAGTTTTTAAGGTAAATATTATTTACTACAAGCATTCTTCAGAATGCTAGGTACATGGAGAGTCAATTCCATCTGTTAAAATTATAAATCAGAGAATGGTATAATTTTGAATGGTTTTCACTCTTCCAGGATGTTGTAGCTGGTAACTCGAAATTGAACATGGCCTTTGTGGCAAACTTGTTCAATCGTTACCCAGCCTTGCCTCCAATGGATGCTGAAGAAACTGAAGAACTGGAAGAGCCACGAGAGGAGACGAGAGAAGAGAAAAGTATGTGAATACAATGATGCTGTACTGTTGCCATTTGAAAAAGAAAATTGAATCTTTATCCTCTGTGATGACTTTCTCAGATTGGTTCTGAAAAGATTGCTCAACCAAGTATTTACCAGTTTTTTTTCCCACAGCCTTCCGTAACTGGATGAACAGTATTGGCGTTAACCCGTACGTAAACAATCTTTACAGGGACCTCTGCAGTGGATTAGTCCTGCTGCAGGTAAGGTTAGCTTTCTTTTTGCCTTACTGTGCCTTTCAATAACATGCGGACTCTAAAATTCAAAGCTTAACCGGCAAATGTGTTTTTCACTACCATCAATCAAATGTTCGGCGGCGTCCTCCCAGCTTCAGACTACATCCAAGCACTGTGCTCAGCAATTTGATTACCACATGCTTGGCAGTAGTCGGAAGTTGGGAGAAGCCACCAAACAATTGATTGACGGTGGTGAGAAATGATTTTGTTGGTTGAGCTTTGAATTTTAGAGTCTGCATGTTATTGAAAGGCACAGTAAGCTGAGGTCAGTTGATTCCAAAATGTTGATCTGACTTACATATAGGGTAAAAATTGGTTAAAACTCTCAGTCTTCCAAGCGGTCTTTAATGTGAAGTTATCTCTTGCAGCTGTATGATATTGTGAAACCTGGAGTTGTCAACTGGGATAAAGTCAATAGGCCTCCTTTTAAACAAATGGGTGGAAAGATGAAGAAGATAGAGAACTGTAACTATGCAGTTGAGCTTGGGAAGACAATGAAATTTTCACTGGTTGGAATTGGAGGTCAAGACATTCATGACTGCAATGAGACACTGACCCTGGGTAAGCGGGAACATATGACTCTGAAATAACGTCAGTTAACTCCTATTAGGCACAGCAATATATATACACAGATATTTGTTCACCAACATCATCTCTTCGCGAGAAGTGAATAGTTTTCTAGTAAAAATAACATAATCTTTTTGCTTTCATCTTAAGTTCTTCACATTTGGTTTTTTGATCAAGTGATCTATCACCACACCTAATGTCCACTTGATGTCCAGTTTTTGGTGTTATTAACATTTTCCAACCATATGAAACAAAAACTTGAATTATTTGTTTCAGCAATCACTGGAGCTGGGTGGTGTACAAAAACTGTAACAATACTGATTTTTTTTTTCCCTTTTTTCTTGGTGGGGGTTTCCCACAAAAATCTGTGTTACCTGCCTAGATTTCTCAGTGTCGGTATAATTTCGAGATGCACCTGATGTACTGACAAGAGATTTTGTTTCAACAGCTGTTGTCTGGCAACAGATGAGGTCATACACACTTGCCTTGCTCTCAAAGTTGACTCCAGATGGCAAAAAGATTGAAGACAAAGACATCATTGAATGGGTTAATGAAAAGGTAAATTAATGATAAAGTATTTAAAATACTCTGGAAGAAGAATGTCACGCTGCCTGTAGGACTTTTAAGGAGGGAGAATGGCTCATGCATATCAAACAGTTTGGTGGCAGGTTCTGGATAGTTCATCTTTTTTGTTGTTGTTATTGCACAATCTGGCACTCCTCTCACTATGGTACCCTCAGTCGAGGAGTTTAACGAGGAGTCTCAACAGACTGTTGAATAATGGCTGGTTTCCATAGATTGTGTGTTTCGGAGGAGATTGGGGAGGGAGGTGGGGGGTAATGTGTGATAGACTTGCATCATCCAAGTGGAATAACAATACTCCCACAAGTGAATGATGAAATGTTAGGCATCGCATAATCTTTGGACCAAAAAAAATCTGGATCCTTAATGTAGTTATCAGAATCCATGACCTGTGAGCTGGGCCATTTTGGAAGGTTCAAATGGGACATGCATCCTTCTTACTTGTACTATGAGCAATGCCAAAAGTGCCCTGTGAAGAGATAATTAAATATCATTTGAAAAATGGTACATTTTACTGGGCTGTCATTAAGTTTTGAGTCACCTGTAGCCTTGTTCTCCACACCAGTAGCATACTTATTAGTTTGTGGGTGAACTCTATCAACAACAGGCAATTTCACCCGTAGCATCAAGGGAAAATCAAGCACACTCAGCTGTAACAGGTGTTACGGGTTACATCCCTTAATGAAAGCCCTGTTTTAAGCCAAAACGTTGTTTTCAGTTGTGTTAAGGTAACCTTCATGTGTTGTTGATCTTAAGTTACAAGGCGCAGGCAAGTCAAGCAGAATCACAAACTTTCAGGATCCCAGCATCAGTAGCAGCCTGCCTGTTCTGGATTTAGTCGATGTCATCAAGCCCGGCATTGTGGAGTATGACATGGTGTCCAGTGCCACCACTGATGAAGTAAGTAGCATTTTAAAGGAGCTCAGCCACGGTTTGCGCATATTGAAAGGTTCAATTTTTCAAATTCGACGTTTGTAATCCGTGTTAATCTTCTCCATCCTTAGCCATCCTTGTTCCTTTTTGGTTTATCATCATCTCTTTGGTGTTTTTCTATCTTATTAAGCTGTTATTTTCAGGTTTCTTACCATTTAAAGGTAATTTTGTATGTGGCCAAAATAACTCAAAATACCGTGACCGAGCTCCTTTAAGTAACAATATCATATGGCAAGGTACTTGTAGTCTTGAGGTAAATCCAAGTGTTCTGATTGGTTCTTACTTGGTGGGGATTATGCCATATGGACCATCTCTATGGAAACAGTCACAAGCTGTGTATCAAAAGCGGGCAAATTAAATGACAAGCATGACCCGAGTGCCATATAATAAACTCCTTCCTAACCTAGCGTGCTCGAGCCGTACTGGGAGATATTGGCTCTTGGTAGTTCTTGTACAAATACTTTTGATTTTAGAATAGCCAAAACCCAACGTTAGTTGGCTCAGACACTCACCTAAAAAGATATAGATTTTTTCTTTAAGAACGTTCGCGGGTAAATTTTCCAGTCGGTAGATTTTTTAGAATTTTTTTACTGCAGTCAGAGAATGAGTTACTTGTGTCAGAAATGAAAAAAAATTGGGGGTCAGCGACTTCGTTTCAGAGATAAAACGTGTGGAAAACTAGCCTGATTTCGAAAAATTGGCGCCCGTAATTCAGCATGGTCTACAGGGGTTTATATAGAAGGAGAGTCTACGGAAGCAAACGGTCTTAGTCATATTTTGTAGAAATGGGTCTGTTGCGTAAATAACTCCAAAGGTTGCCAACGTATTCACAAAACTTAACCCGTCAAGAGGCATTTGAAACCGCCGCCCAGATAAACGAGGAGCTAAAAATAACGGAATTCGATGGTGCATTTTGCCAAAAGCTCAAACTTCTAATAGATAGATTTTCTTCATTTTTTGGCTAAACGTACAAAATCGGTAGAGGAAATGATCCATCAAAAGAAAAATAGGGGTCACCGAACGTCCAAGATCGTTAAATCCAGGCAAAGCTATAGCAATGGCCATCTGCCCTATCGTTGTTCATTTTATTACCTAGCGCGCGCATCGATGCATGACTTGCCATGTGAGTTTGTTTGCTCAGTAAGGATGCGCAGAAACAATTAGCGGATCGTCATCAAATAATAGTAACTCGTAGGGTTAGTACCCTAGGCATCGGTCTACAGCAAGTTCCTCCCTCCAGTGCTGGAAGCTGATATTATGTTATTAGCTTGTCAGTCAAAACTTATACTTTTTCCTTTGTTTTGTGCTTTAGGAGAAACATGAAAATGCCAAATATGCCCTTAGTGTTGCCCGAAAGATTGGTGCCACGACCTACGCCCTGCCTGATGATCTGGTGGAAGTAAAACCCAAGATGGTGTTGACAGTCTTTGCCTGTCTAATGGCTACTTACCTAGCCTTGAACAATTAATCTGCCTATTTATCAGAGAGCCGAAGCCTGCACGTTCTGTTTTTGTAGCCCAAAAAATTTGATAGGTCTCATAAAAAAAAATATTCAAACGTCAGAAGATTTTTTAACAAATAACTGTTACTTTACTACTTAAGTTTGTTTGTGTTTGGCGTGGTCTGAAGAGGAGGGGTGGGGTGGGTGGGGGGGAAACGGGGTGTTCTGCACAAACCTCGCGCAAAGAATGCACAAATGTTCTCCAGTCCAGTACTTTAATTTATTTAATTCAATCACTGCTGGTCAAAGCATGTGTAAGTAATTTCTAAAGTCTTCAATTCCACATAGTCAAAGAATTTACAACTCACATAAATTGGTGTAGCAACTGATTTAGCAGCAAGGGTATTTTCCCCTGGCTGCTAAGTCAGTTTTTTGGGGGGTGGCAACTCCGTGACCAGAAATAAATAAACGTTAAATTTTTATAAATGGTTGTGTGTAATAATGTTAGGCTGGGATGGGCTATTTGAAGGTGAGCTAAGATTATCCAGGACTAACATGAACTGTGATTATGACTTGATTTTTTCCACTTTCGAGATATTTTAAAGTTATTTCATCTGTAGAAAATCAGCAGTAGAGAGCGCTTTGTAAGGATAAGAAATTAACCCTTGACTAACTTCTAATGCTACATTATTGTTAATTAGCGTGCGAGCAACCAGGTCTTGGTTCAAAGAAGAGAATTTAACGTTTCAAAGATGACTGGGAAGAGCGTTCACATTTCTTAGGTAATCTAATTTTCTAAAATCTGAAATAAATTATCAGTAAAACTCTACTTGATTGCAAGGCACTGTAAGTCGGCTCTTATAGTGGATGTAGTTAGCTGTGTTTTTGAGAATAAATATTTTAGATCTTTTGTATTTCTTGTTATTGTGATGTCTGAGTATCATTTTGTGAGCAACCT